CCAGCACAGACACAGGGAACCACAGTTAAAGAGTGACGGCCACAGGAGCCACACACAGCACGCTACACGGCAGAGAGCAAACCCGGCTCTCGGTGGGCGCGCAGGCTCTTTCTCTGGGAAACAGGTGAATACTCATTGTGCTCCAGGTCCTACAATCAGCCAACAACACTGATATTAACACAAGTGCAGGTAGCAAAAACGTGTGCTTTCAGGGTTCCGCGAGATAAGAAAAGCGTGTACAAACAGAGAAAGTCGAGCTTGTCTGCAAAAATGCAATTGGCATATTCTGAAGCAGTTTGCTGCTGCAGGTGCAGGTAACCCTTATGAATAAGAAAACAATTTATACTTTAAAAGCCTTAGAAAAATCACGGAAGTGCAGCAATTTTCTGACAGAATTTAAAAATATTTTAAACGGGGATCAAGTCAAATATTTCAGACCTTAATTGAAATGAGTCACATTGAAAATAACCGGTGTCATTTTAAAGGTGGTTAAAACACCTAAATTGACATTTGAAAATTCACTGATTATTGATAGAAGGATTATTGACAAATACAGTCTAATAATCTTTACATAATCTCTTTGAAATAAAAAATATTTTCAACTCTTTTGTGTTATTAACTATCCATGGTTAAAAATCCACTAAAATGACAAATGGGGAATTACTGTGATAGAGAACTGATGAACAATAAACTTTTAAATTCAAAGGAGTATCCATGGCCATCTTTTTCATGGAAAACACAACCATAGACACTGAGAAGGCCTGATGGAGCCTGATATCAGTCTCATTGAATCAGCCAGGGTAGGGTAGGCGTCTCATGGAGACAATCAGAGCTAGAGCTCCACCAACTATGCAGAAACACAGACTTGTGTGCCATGGTTCCAAACAGTTCTCAGTCACCTGGACTCTGTCTGCATAGCCTCGGAGTGAAAGGCTTTAATAGTATGTGAATGTATGAGATGTCAGTAAATACATTGAGCAAGTTCTCCATGCTTCCAACTATAAGCTGGGACTGTTTCCTGCCTGGCTTATCGTAAGTGAAGACCATTATCACTTACAACCCGATTATTCTCCATTCTTCACCCATGACCTGGATACTGCCTTTGCTATAATCAGATATAACCACGTCTAAAGTTCACCTTGGGCCTTTTGTTCCTGTTCCTTATCTGGTCCAAAGAATATGATTTTGATTTTGATATCAATGGATCATGATAGTTCACTGAAAATAACACCAAATGCCAGGGATACTTATTTTCATTTTTAAAAATGGACACTACAGTCTCCCTCCTTTCTGATTTCCCTCAGAGGAGTCAGTAGAAATTTAAAAACTTGTTAAAAGTGTGCTACTGTCTCCAAGGACAAACTACAACCCTAACTTTCGTCAGAAATATATACCCAGAAATCCTATGTGCAGGTTTTTCTTAACTTTCATTTATTGTTCCAGAAAATATTCATTCATTACCACTGGTGAAGTACTGGAAAAGTTTTACCAGCATGTCCAGCGATTTTATATCAACTTCTTCTTTTTTTTTCAGTATGTTCTTCAAGAACTTTGTCCCTATTTCTCATTGTTCATTTTAAAGCAATATTTGAGTACAATTATCTTATCACCTATCTAACACAGACATATGTAGAAGAAAATTATCGGGGTTGGTGAGGTGGCTCAGAGGTTAAAAGCACTGACTGCTCTTCCAGAGATCCTGAGTTCAATTCCCAGCAACCGCATGGTGACTCATAACCATCTATAATGAGATGTGGCGCCCTCTTCTGGTCTGCAGGGACACATGCAGACAGAACACTATACACATATAAACTAATAAATCTTAAAAAAAAAAAAAAGAAGACGAAAATTATCACTCAGAGTTAAAGTAGGCCAGGGGTGGTGGCTCTTATATATAATGCCAATGTTTGGGAGGCTGAGACAGAGGAGGGTCACCCTCAGCCACAAAGCAAATCCAAAGCCAGTTTACAGAGGTCTGTGTTTCAAAAAGGAAAAAAAAAAAAAAAACCGTAGCAGACGACCTGACAGATCACACACGCCCTGTCTGCACCTGTGTGCTGCAAACGATGTTTTCCAATAATCAGAAATGCAACGAGCACGAGCCACGCGTGGTGGAGTTGGCAGCTGGCACTGCCCGTCTCCCTTACATGCCCCGGCCCCACACCCATGGAGAGACTTCTTGACATTTAGTGTTGCTAGTGTTGCGGAAAGACAACAGATTGAGGCAGCTGGGAATGCTCGAAAACTTGCGACAAATAACTGCACACAAATAACAGCTCCTGGCTGCCCTCGGCTCAGGCGGCTTTCTCTAGGCAGGCTCGGGCCGGCCTCCGAGCGGCACTAACAGAAGCCTCTTCTCACAGGCAACGCCTGATCTTGCTTGTCTGCCACCCAGGCACACTCTCCCCTTCATCAGGGCATCTTTTCATTTTGCCTTCACCGCACACCACTGAAACGCAATCTTGAGGTAGGGAAAAAGAAAAGAAAAAAAAAGGAACAGGAAAAAAACCTTGCCCTAAATTCCCTTTCAAAGGTGAACCCTGGAAGACTTCAAGCAGAGCACACAGCACTATTGTTGTGGAAAAGGCCTAGGCCAAGGCTGGCAGCCTGAGTGGCTCTGCATCCTCAAGAGCGAATAATAATAATAATAATAATAATAATAATAATAATAATAATAAAAGCACCCAGGGAGAAAGCCCTCTGGGAAATGAGATGTCTCTTTGTCCTTCCTCTTCGTTTGTCATCAGTATTCATGGGCCCAGCTGTTTCCTTTCTCCAACTAATCCTCAATCAATGCTGTAATAGTGACCCTTCTTACTGGGTCCCCTGGGCCTACAATACATCTCCGTGTACCTACTCTCAGCCCCAGAAATTTCTAACATATTTTTAATTGAGCAGTAAAACAGGAAACCTGATTATCTGACTTAGTTTGCTACTGATCTTAAACAAACAACAACAACAACAAAAATGAAATTTTCAAAGATTTGGAATCTTGGAGTTAGTGAACCTACTTGGATATTTAAATAGCTTTTAATTTAAAGTTATAAGCTAAGGTACAAAAGATAATCAAAGTCAAATGTTTAAGGAACAGAATATGTGACATTTCTTTATATATAAATTATCATGTTTTTTTCAGAATGACACCTATCTAATTTTTCTTTACATAACTATACAATTACACACCAAGGTCATGAAATACATTTATTTATTGTATACAGTTTCAAGATAAAATTATTACTTATGACTTAAATCGAGTTGGGTTTTTCAGAGCATAAAGATACACTACAAATATGAATTGCAGTGGTATTTCCAGGGAGGAATCTGGTACCACATTGTCTCCTACTGAATTCTACTGGAAGTCCTATTAGCCCAAGCAACAAAATGACTCAGAGAAAACCAATCAAGGCCACAGCAATATACAGAGCTATTTGTAACTCATTCAGTTTTTCCTACCAGTAAGTGAGAAAATGCATTTCTAATGAAAATCTGTACAATAAACAAATTTATAAGTTAATGCAGATCTAAAGCAATTTCTCCTACATGGCCATCTCATAGTTTAAAACATGATGTTAACTGTCTCCATACCCAGGTGAGACACAGGATGACCGACCTCTTCATGACTGACATTTGACTGACTGTAGCTATACAGACAGACATTGTTAGACAATACGTTTGCTTTCAAATCATTCTTCTTCATTTCCCTCCTATAATTCCCTCCACTACATAACCTGACATACCTAACAGTTAAAAAGTCTTTATAACATTTCTACTGGGCTGTAGGGGAGGTATCCTCAACAGAAGCTCACACCTTTCACCAACAACAATCGAAGCCTAGGAGCCTTCACGGACACACTCATGTGTGTGTGCCATACTTCTGTGCAACTATTCTGATTCATCCCTTTTCTCTTAAATGTAGAATACCCTGCCACACTGAAATTCTATTAGTCTGTTCTCTGCTGAGAAAATTCCCAGATATTTAATGGCCATCTTTCTCACGTCTTATCCATCCCCTCATCTTGGAGCAGACACAAATGGCTTTAGCTTGTGAAATGTCAAGATGCCACTGTCATCACTTAGATACCATTATCCAAGGCTCAGAGACAAAGGCTCTTCCAAGTGCTTGGAAGGTAGTTTATGTACTTATTCTCCAAAGGATGCTTGGCTTACATTAATGGCAATATTTGGTATTATGTGATTTTGTAAATTGATTTTTTATAGATCCCTAGACAAACAGAGCCAACACTTTTCTTTTTTCCATTAGAAGTCTAAATTCTTGACTCTGTTCCATTTCACTAAAAGAGTGATTAGGTTCCAATATTCTCCAAGTTAGAATTACATTCATTGTTGGGGGACTTCTGCAGTAAGCTTCGACATTTAATCCCAGAGTGCCAGCCAGTATGGAAACACTCGCTAGTTCAATATATTACATGCTTCCATCCAACAAATTAAAAATCTCATTGTGTGGTCTGGAAATGGAATTGTCAAAATTCAATCAGGAGGAAAGGAAAAAATCCGGGAAATGTCAACCCGAGGAGGCATTTTCACTGCGATGTCTGTGTGCTGCAGTTCCTTCCATACCCCCATGCACACCTGATTTTAACCCTGAAAACAGTTAAACACATAAACTAGTGAACTTCAGTCTCTGCAGACAAAGAACGGAATTCTTTACCCTCCACAGAGGGGCAGCACTTGAGGTCTCCCTTGGTGGAGCACAAACACTCAGGTTGCATGGATAGCGCTCAGCTCTGGCTGCAGAGACACTGCCATTTCTGCCCATGAACTTCATCCACCAGGCGACCAGGAGAAAGATGGCAGGTCCCTTTATTTTTTTTTTAAACCTTGACTTGTTGAAGTTACAACGTCAAGGTTTCAGTCCCCCCCCCCCCCCACGTCTTTAAAATCGTCTGAAAAACAGCAGTGCATAATAACTATAGGTGGATACGGTAGGGAAAAGGCAGTTATAATAGCCCATCTGCTAAAATCTTCAAAGCCATACATACCCAGGCCTTCAGATTCAAAGAGACATGTTTCGTCCACCCCCAAGTCTCGGCACCAGGATAAGAAGTTGGCTGTGTTGTCTCGGGCAAAGAAGGAGCCTGAGGGAGCGCTGGCTTTGCAGGGGATCTTCTTCAGTGGCAGAGTCTGTAAAGCAAAGAAATCTCAGTCTGGTGGGGTGCTGGGCAAGTCCTATCAGAGACACAGCAGAAAGAAAAATGCACTTACGCTTTCAACACCATGTTATGAAAACTCGGGGGCTGGGGATCTGCGGCCGGCACACACCCTCATCTCAGGAACACTCACCGTAAATGCACGGGAGCCCTTCCCCTAATGCACACTGGGTTTTATTTTCCTTCTGACACTACTTTGGGCTTTTGCCTCATCTAAATAATCTGTCAGTTTTCTTCACAAAGTACGTAAAATGTACTTTATTTCTCACTATTACAGACGAGATGAATGTACACTTTGATGCATGCAGATACAGCACACAGAAAGTGTGTGTGAGCTGGGACCAAGGGCAGCGGGATTTGCTGCCCACCCCACCCCTCTCCACGTTGGTACTGAGAGGGTTATTTAAAGGTGACAAATGTAATAACCCTTCCTGGCCCCTTTCTGTTAGACAAATAATGTAGCTTGAGCATACAGAAATAACTCACGTGTGAACTCCCTGCTTTTGCCTTCAGAGGAACTATTTACATTCTCTGTCACTTTTGACATGAAGGGAAATGCTTGGGATACCAGTGTCTGTGAACTGGAAAGGCAACCCTGCTAGCATTTTCCCCAGAAGCCTTAGCCAGGAACTGGTGCTCGGCACTTCGGCAAGTGCCACGGGCCTTTTCTTTTACAGAGCAGAACCAATTTCCAAAGCCAGCGAAGTCACGTGGCGCTAAAGCCCGAGGCAAACGTTTGGTCGAGGTGGGTACTTGGGACCTTGCTGAGGGAGCACAAAGATCCAGGGAGAATAGTTAGACTCAGAGACAGGGGTGTCCTCTACTCACAGAGTAAGCCGTGTGCTGCGGTTGCTTAGTTCATTTACAGAGCAGAGCGACAACATGGAATAGGGGCTCACTGAGTCAATGAGGGTCACGCAGTTCTTCGGATCAGGAGGTTCTATGGCTACACAATAAAACATGTCTGTTGCTATAGCCTGGAAGGGCCTGCTGTCTGAGAGGCCCATCTTTCCACTGAAGGTTAAAGCTGACACAGAGTACACACCACGGACGTTTTTACATGGCTATACAAGTACACCTGTGTTTTAGGTACTATTGTTACATTTGATTATATATGCATATATTAACCTATATTATATGCAGGGCTGCCTACATGGTAATCACTCTTTTTTGCTTTCATTAGTGTATGCTGATTGTACAAAACATTGAGTTTCGCTGTGACATCTTCATGCATGCACACAACATACTTGGCCACTTTCACATTAGGCATCACCCTGTTCCCCCTTCCCTGAATTTGCTTTCTCATCCCTAGCATCTCTTCTACTTTCGCATCTTCCTTAAAATCTGGACACTACACATGCAATATGTGCCCTGGGTGTGGCTCATTCTGCTTAATGTGGTGACCTCCAATTCCTGCCACTTCCCTGCAAATGGCGTAATGCGTTCTTCTCTGTGCCTTACCCACACGTTCTTTAATCACTCCTTTTGCACATTGGTGGATGCCTAAGCTAAATCCCTAGCTTGGCTATTATGAATGATAACACAATAAGTGAGAGCAGAGATACAATGGAGTTCATATGATCACTTAAAAGGGATAAAACATGTAAGTATTGAGACATAAAAAGATCGGGACATGCTCTTAGGTAGAAAGACATGTATGTACTGTGACTTTGTTCTGTGATGTGTGCAAATATGCACAGAGTTAAATTTCATACAAAACATCACAACTTACATATTTATAAAATAAAAATGTACAAATATATCAAGGAGATATCAAGGTTGGAGAGGAATTGCCTTTGAATAAGGGGTTGGGCGATTAAGCAGAATTCTGAGTGCGGTTAGTGTGGCTAGGAAGTCAATTCATTTTTAAATTTCGATAAACAGATTCTGATAGGCACATGTGGATAATGGTCATTATATTGAATAGCAGATCAGATGGCAAAGCAAAGCCTTTATCTGATGTTTCATAAAATGTATTTGACTACTGTTTACTTTCCCTCAAAAGAGAAACGATATCTCATGCCTCCTAACCCTCTTTAAACAGAGTATTTCCCATGTATAATAAAGATACTCGATGGATCAGGTCAAAGATCTTACTTGAAGGATGAATACGGAACATAAAAACGGAACTGTCTCAGTGTCAGGGTACTTAAGCTTCAGAGGGGTGACAGTGGCCACTCTGTGACATTTGACATTGCATGTATAGCCTACACATGGGGGCAGGGGCTTGTCCGACAGTACACAGCTTTTCTGATGCCCGTCATGCACAGGCGACACTGGCTTCGCTGCTGACGTACAGTGACATTAGAGAAGGAGTAGCCCAGAATCTGTAGGTCTATCACAGTGCAGGAAAATAATACATGTTTACATATGGATCTTTGTACTAAAGTGTCAAAGCACAACACTTCACATTAATGAACAGCACAGCATCTCCATCTTCTGGATGAAGAAGTTGTGCTTATACACAATTCAAACCCAAATCACAGCATCTCCCCTCCACAAGCTTCAACTATTCCATGAAAACTCAAGTTTGATTTGGGTCCAGTGTATTTCAGCATGTGGTGTTTCCCCAATTTGGGCCAAGTAAAGTTAAGAAGAACTAGGTATCGTCTGTCACTGTTTCAACTTATCAAAAAGTAAAGTAAATCAGGAGAACTGAGAAAATGCTATCTTTAATTTCCTTTACCTTGTTAACTGAAATTTTAATTCTGGCAGTCTATCTAAATGTGGTTTTTATTCATGAAAGCTCAAGGCAGACTCCTATTTTTAATTACGTCAAGTAGCCATTTGAGATATAAAGCAGAAGATGATGTGGTACTGGCCAAGAAGTAATATTGTTTCTTTTCCAAAAGGTATGTGGACTCTGCTGTTCAAATGTATAGGCAATGAAGTCACTTTTTCCACAGTGGAAAGAAACGTTTCCATTTGAATCCCTCTAGCTCTCTTTATTGAAAAGTAATCTCTCTGCGTAAAAACAAAAGTTGCTGACATTTAGAGTATCGCAGTGTGTAAGTCAAATACCATGTCTCTTTAGGAAGGATAAAACTGAGGGCCTGCAAGATGTCCAGTTGGTAAAGACACCGGCCACTAACTGTGGTGATCCCCAAGTCCCACGGAAAAAGAGAACCAACTCCCAAACATTAGTCCCTGACCTTCACACATGTGCAGTGGCACATGAACACCCCACACATACACACATACAATAACCAGATAAATGCAACAGTCTCGGGAGACGACGCAGAGGTTAGCTCATGCAGAGAACCCAGGTTTGGTTCCCAGCACCCACATGAGACAGCTCACAGCTACCTGTAACTCCAGCTCCAGGCAATCCAATGCTTTCTTCTGGCCTTCATGGGAACTGCATTTGGTGCCCATAAATGCACACAAGCACATATACATAAAAGTAAATAAATCTAAAAACAACACCATTTTTTAAAAGGTGAAATATGTTCTTTAAGATAAAAATTGTATTAAAATTTAAGGAGAAAAATTAATCATTTTTTGTCTTTACATCCCTCTTAAAACTTGGTAATAGGAACTTATACTTAACATTGATTTAATTTCATTAATTTGATTTCAGAAGCAACTGAAAGCATCGGGCTGGAATTCTAAATGGACCCTCCATTTCCTCTCTAAGACAAATTCCACATGATAGAGATCTGCCTTTTGCTGCAAATTCTGTTGTGGCCGTCATGTTGTAATACCACAAAAATACTCAATGAGAAAAAAAAAAAAATAATACGGAGCCTTGTGACAGTATAGGCTTGCCATAGCTTTTGTGCTTTGAAACCAATAGAACAATTGCCTAGAAGGTCCACCACACTCCAGTGTAAGGTCCAACAGACAGAAGTATGTGGGCAACACAATCTGGAATCCAAGAGTTATAAATTTAAAAAGTAAAAGATACGGAGTTGGAGGGTAGCGGGGGATGGGGGATGGGGGTGGATCTGTGAGGAGCAAAAGGGAGGGGTCGGGGTGAAAAATGACCAAAACACATGGTAAGAAAATTGCTAAAGAATTAATGAGATATTGAAAATCAGTGTTAATATACACATGGGCCTTTTTAGTTACTTGGAACGAGTCTCTGTGATTACATAAAGTGATAGAAATGAAAATCAAATCTAGAGTCAAACTTAAGGCTTAAAAGAGACGTGGCGATAGAAGAGCGTTGGTAAGTGAGTAGTGTGCTGAAACCCTGGCCAGGAGCTACAGAAGCTCATTCAAGGACACCACCACCATGGCTTCAGGAGCTGAGATAGGAAATAAAGAGGTCATATGGATACACAGCAAAATAGTAATCAGTGATAGCAGATACAAGCCATGGAGATGCATGGAGAGAAATGAAAGCCTGTTACTAAGTAAGAGATGTGACCAGCAGTGCTGAAGAGACACATGCTAAGTGACCCAGCTCCATAACAGCCGTCAGAGGCAGCTAGAAGACAGCGGAAAGACCTGGGGGGCTGGAGAGATGGCGCCACGGTGAACACCTGCTGATGAATCATGAAGACACCAGGCAGCTGCCAACTGCCTCTTAACTCCAGCTCCAGGAGATCTGATGACTTCTTCTGTTCTCCAGTACCCAAACACACATACGTGCATACATCCATAAAGACACATGTGCATGTATACTCACATAGACACATGCATGTACACCAATAAAGTTTATTTTTTAAAAATCTGGAAAAGTGGGCACGAGGAGAGTCTTAGGATTTTAGGTCAGTGAGTCTGTTCTGTAGGGTACTGTGTGGATGGACACCTGTCATTATATGCTGTCAAAATTCATGAGTAGAATGTACAACCAGAAGGGTGGACTCTAGTGATTGTGCGTGCTGGTGAAATGTGTTAATGAGGAACCAATCATGGGTGGTAATAGATGCACCATTCTGATGAGATTACCGCAGGATTTTTAATTTAAACCAAAAGCATCCCTCATATGTGGGATCCATAACAGACACACTCTTCAAGCAGAAAGTA